CAGGAATGGCACACTGTTCAATCATGATTTTGCAGAACCTCTGGTTTTGGACAGGTTTTTTTTTCTTTTTTTTTTTTTTGGATTTGGGATAGACTACATAGGAGTATGCTGTACATAAAAGTAAAAGCTAGTGCTTTGTCTTCGTAGTTTTAAGAAATTACAACAAATTAAGTTTTCTTGTATTGAAAATAACATGATTGTATGTTTTGCATTCCTAGAAGTAGGTTAACTGTGTTTTTAAATTGTTATAACTTCACACCTTTTTGAAAATCTGCCCTACAAAATTTGTTTGGCTTAAAACGTCAAAGCCGTGGCAATTTGTTCCTTGATGTGATTGTATTTCCAATTTCTTGTTCATGTAAGATTTCAATAAAACTCAAAAATCTATTCAAAACATTACCTATTTCAAATTCAATTGTGTCCTAAAACATTATTTCATTGGTAATTCTTGCGAAAAACATTGTTTTCAAAGTATAACTGCCTATGTGAGTGATCAAATTAATGCAAAATTTCTTGTGCTTTCCAACATGTAGCACTGTGGACATCAGACTGAAAACTAGGAGAAATTACAGATAGCCCAGTGGGCACTCTTTGTTTAATTGCTGTTCAGTAGCTTTCCAATATCTAATTTTTAAACTTTTTTTTTTCTTTTAAAAAGTGTTGAAATGTATCCAAACATTCATGGAGATCTAATTTAAATGTGACCTTCTAATGTAATGTGGAGAAGGAAGCAGAGCCTACAATGGTGTTAATTTTGTTCCTTTTTATTATGTACTGTGGAGTCCCTCTAGAGGCTATTCTGTTAGGATCCACCCATGTTGTATTATTCAGTGTACAAACACACAGAGAAATGGTTTTGATCTCAAGCATCTTAGTCTAATTTAAGATAATATTTGACTAGGAGTGAGAATTACAAATTAGTTGCTGTGGCACAGTAAACGTAACTTCTTGCTACAGATAACACAAACATACTCTCCATATTCTGCTTATTTCTGTCTTGACATTTTAATTTGATGTTCTGCCATGATGAACAATTTGCCTTAGAATTCTCATGCCTTGTAATAAAGGCTGTTTAAAAAAGAAAAACCCATAATATCTTTTGGGGGCATTACTAGCTTTTGGGGTATTATGTGTTGCTGTGACCCTTGGACATTTCCAGATGTCAATTTTAACTGGCAAGTCATGACATTACTCTTCTGTTGCATCTGAGCCATTCTGTACCCCAATGAAGAACATTTGCTTCTCAAGAAAAGAGAGAAACAAACGGACTTAAACTTTCTCTAAAGAAAACTATTGCCGGACCTCTAAATATCCAAATCAAATACATTGCTCATACTTGATTTACAGCATTCTAAACGCAGACTATTGAGGAAGTTAAACTTCAGTGGTCATACTCCTCCCTTTGTCTTCTATTCCTGTCTGGTGTCTTTCAAGTGTATTATGTCTGAATGTAAACAGAAAGATGAGCCTTCCCACACTTTACTGTTGTGGGTCTGGTATATAATTGCATGGTTTGAGTTTTGACCCCTGAATTGAGGTGAGGATGTATACCTGGTTCTCAAAAATGGGTTTGCCCCTGTGTCAGGCTCTTCCTTTCAAATTAATAGAATTGTTCATAAATAATTTAAAGTGCTTCTCAAAATTAGTATTTAGCAGGTTAAAGCCCCTCCCCCCCCCTTTTTTTTTTATTTTAAGAACTTCATAAAGTTAATGGGTCCAAGTCCTGTCCTCTCTGTGCCTTACTTGAGCAGTGAAGTTAGAGGGATAGTGCCTGGGTATACGTTTCAAGCTTTTGCTTGTGGTAAGGATCTGGCTTATAATTTTAATACAAGGGTTTGCTGTCCTGTCAGTATGACTTCATAGTAATTATATAGCATTTGTGGTATTGAGCAGAACCCTGTAGTCCCAATAAGTATTTGCTTTTTAGTAATTGTAAAGGGGTCTGGTACTAGGGAGCTTAATTGGAATCAAATTTAAAGTACTCTCCGTCTTGGAAGAAAGATAGTGTTCATGTACTGAGTGTTTCAAGTGTTAGCCAAGGAGAGGTGAAGTGCCAGTGCATGCTTGGAGGGGGTGGGGAGGAAGTAAAGCACTTCAATTGTAGTGTTTACAAAAGAGCTAAGGAACAAAAATGTTTAAATTGTCATCCTCGAGAATTGTAAAGCTGCTTCATGTATTCTGTCCAAATCACTATTTATCCCAATATATATTTTATATATATATGTATTTTACAATTGAGCTATATATTTTACAATTGAAAATTAAAATCAGTAAAAGTTTATATTTACAAGATATACCAGGTTCTTCAATTTACATGATTTATGGATACTCAAATTCACCATTTAAATTTGCAGCAGTGCTTTATTGAATCTTAAAAGATAATGCGTACTACAATTTACCCGATTAGTGGTGTACACTGAACTTGAAGAACTTAACAAAATTATTGAACAAAGAGTTGAACTGTAGCACAGTGGAAAAACCTATAATGCCTGATGACAAATACTCAAGGAAAGAATTTTGCGCTACCAGCACAATTTTGATACATAGTCAAAGCAAAAAATAAATTTAAATTTACTCTCATGCATCTCTTGATCTTTTCTTCAGTATAACTTAGCAAAAATCCTCTTGTAGAATATGTTGAAAATGGATTTTAACTTGAAAACCAGTATTAAACTTTTAGGAGTGTCCTGCTGGCGTTGGAGGAGGAGCCATGAAATGGGATTTTAATAATCATTTGATCACTCATTTATAGCAGTTGCTTAAATGTCTGTAATGATAAGGTGTTTGACTTAAAAATAAGTAGGTTGCCAGATTCCTAGCAATTCCGAAACTTGAGCAAAAGATTTTTTACAGCTATTGTGTTGTTATAGACTTACTTTCACATTATTAACAAAATCATTTTCCTAAACTCAACTTTACATTTTACTAATTCATTAAAAATAGTCTGCATTTTTTTGAAAGAGTTAAAGGTTTAATTTTTTGTACCAGTTGTTTATTTTCAGGACTGAACTTCTGTAGTCTAATTATTAGAATGACAGCAACATTGCTTAAACCTTTTCAAAATAAACACTAAGTAGAATATCACCGCATGGTTTTGGTGACTGTGTAAAAACCTGACCACTTTTTGTCCCCTCTGCATTTGGACATGAAGCCCATTTCTGTATTTTGAACTACACAGAAAAAAAATACAGAAGGCACTCTTATTATAAGGCTAGCAGAAGAATAAATGTGAAGTATTGACCAAAAAGTCTTAAACCTCTTAATAAAACATGTTTGGCACCTAGACCTGCAGACCCTAATGCAGATCTGTGTATTTTCAGCAAGACTTAATTATTATCCAAAAATTATGTTGGCCCCTATGTAGAACAGCAAGGAACCCTATCCTACAAATCTGTCATGAATGATCTTTGATCATGCATGACTTGAGTTTGAGTACTTCTGTGATTAAGGATTGCTTGTAGAATGAAGGTTTGCCAGATTGAATACTGTTATTCACATGAACTACTTAAATAGATCAGAGCC